GCCCATCAAACCTCACCAAGATGGCAGACAGCGCCCCCGCCAACGACTCGAACGGCAATGGCAGCAGCCTCAACCCCTTCGCCAAAAAGGACTCGCACTCTGACCAATCCATCCTCCTCTACAAGATCACCACAACAATCTCCTGGCTCCTACTCGTAGTCTCAGCCATCTACACCACCTTCGCCTCGCCCAACGGCCCAAACTCGCACAAGTTCTGGCACAACAATCCCTCTACGCCCTTTGCGCAGTCCAGCATCTTCACATCCATCTACGTACTAATCATCTTCATTCTGCAGTCTGGCTACGCGTACGCCCTGTACATGAGCGATACCACCTACGTCACTTCAGCCGCCAACCTCGGTAGCCACTTTATTGCCAACAACTTGCTTTTGTTCGGCTTTGTGTTCCTCTTCACGCACATGCACTACTGGCTCGCGCTGTTTTTGCTCGTGCTCAACTTTGGTAATCTCAGTATGGCGTATTTCCGCCACAGCACTGCGCCGAGGGCTATCCATATCGGTACTGTTAGTGGACCGTTGGCATGGAACTTTGTTGCGCTCTACTGGGTTGGTGCGATTGCGGTCCATTCGAATCATTTTGCGGCGAGAATTGTGGCCAATGTGTTTATTTGGGGATGGTTGGGCTATGGCATGTTCTTCTTGGTGGCGTACAAGGACTACACCATGGGCTTTGCGCTAAGTGTGCTGTGTTTCTGTAAGTTTCGCCTTTTTGCTTGTTTTATCGAAGGCATCTTTGCTAATCTCGCTTCTAGCAACCGGCGTTGGACAGTTCCTTACCCGCCCGCATCTCTTCCAGCTCCAGTGGATCTTTGCTTTCACAATTGGTGGTCTGCTCTTCTTGCTTTCGCTTGCTGTCGGTATGCCCGGCTTGCTTGGACGCGATCCTTTCCCTCGTGGCCAGATCGTCAGCGAGGATAGGGAGAGGGCGCCTTTGTTGGCTGATGACTAGGCGGTGATGTGGGGGTATCAAGTGTAGCATTGTGTATAAGCTATGCTTGTGTTAAGATACATGAGATGGTGGTTAGGGCCACATACATGGAAGAAAACCTGCCAAGGCTAGTCGCATGATAGGTGGTGGTAGAAAAAGCACGGCGATGATACTCAAGTGCTAGTTCGCTTGGGGATGGGGGGACGAATGTGTGGTTGAACAGCTGCGAAGTGCTAGTTCTCAAAGTTGAGGGTTGGTGACATACTGGTTCAACGCATACCACATAAGTTTTCAGGTTGGAATGTTTATACAATGTTGGACCTAGGTTACCCATAGCTCACTCAAAGTTATTGTGAAACACTACCGTTTGATTAATGTATACGGCTCATCTTGATGATTTAATATGTGACAACCACCTCAATATGTTCATCATACTATCCACAGCCACGTATATACCACCCGCTTTAAAGTAGCAGATCCTGGTTCCCATCATTTGGTCCAGGACTCATGACCATATGTTGCGGCTCATTCTGATTTACTACCCATCCACCTCCTGCACCACTGCTTTGATCGGCAACAGGGCTGCCACCAAAGGTACTCTGCCTTCCTACGCTGGCAAAGTACATGTCCGCGTCGCTGACAGCATTCGCCATGCCGTTTGCGCTTGTTGGGGAAAGGTGGCCATTACCATTCGTAGTAGTGTCAAGCTTTGTGCGTTCTGCTGCGGAGCGGTCCCGAGCTTGTTGTGCTGCTTTGACGGTAGGTAATTCATGCTTTTGTAATGCAGGCGAGTCTTGCAATCTACGCGGGCGAGCGCTGCGGAAAACTTGGTTGACTGGCTTGAGGTACACTGTAGCTAGTGTGCCGACGTTCAGGCACATCTCCTCAAGGGTACCAGGATCAAGCTTCTCAGATTCTTCAGCTGTAATCGGAGGTTTCTCGCCCATGACGACCTGCTTTGCTTGCTCAGGTGCTGACGAGAGGAGACGCCAGTACATGTAGCCTCGATCGCGTAAGTCAGGGTTGTCTGTCTCTTCAGTCGCCCACTTCAGTACTTTTGGTACCAGACTGGAGCCACGAGTGGGTCGCTGAATGAACAGCTTGACAGTCGCAGTGAGCAGTGCCAGTTGCACCTCATGTGTCTCTTCTTGGAAAGTGTCCAGAAAGTCTTCAAGAAGAACGTCCGAGTCTTCTATTCGGTCTGCGTATTGTCCAATGACCCAGATCATAGCCGCCTTCGCTTCTGGTTCGTCAAGCGAATCGAGGTTTTCGCACAATGTCGAGATGATCGACTCGTATTGATTGGGGTATTTTCGGAAGATGTTTCGAATCACAACTGTCGCTTCTTGTACGATGTAGGACACCTTGGTGCTGACGAGCTGTAGGAGAGTGCTGATACAAAGTTGTGCTGCAGGTGCGATCTTGATGGCAAGTTTGCCAATGGCTCGTACGGACTTGCGCACAAAGTCGACATCAATTTCAGTAGCGTACCTAGGGCTGGTGTTAGTAGCTCATATGTAGACTAGCTGGAAGAGACTCACTCAGAAAGCTCAGTCAGCACCTCTTTGATATTCCTCTCAGTCGCCAGCATGAAGATGAGCTCAAGCTTGGTGACTTTGACATAGATAGGGTCGTTGTATTTGCAGAAGAAGACTCGGATATCGTTTCTTAGTACCTCTGGTCGGCGTTGTAGAATCAGAAGCGCATTACGAAGGGCTAGATATTGGATCTCGGGTCCTTTGGAGAGAAGCGTGACGAGCGGCGGTGATAGCTTGTTGCATAACGAAGTGACGACTTTCGGATCGTTGATGTAGTTCATTAGGTAGAGTATAACGCGAATGCAGGTAAGAACGACGGCAGAATTTGAATGTGAAAGGCGTGGTGAAATGCGCTCAGCGAGCAGGGCAGCTTCGCTGGTATCTTGTGGAACATAGTTCATCATGGCTTCCAGGATGTACGTCTGACCCCACTCTGAGCAGTCTGGGAGAATCTGAACGATCTTGGATGCGCTCGCGTAGTCGATGGTAAGCTTGATGTTCTCACTTCTCTCCCAGATGTCCATGAGACCTGCCAATGCGCTTGACACTACTGTGGGGTTCTCGTCTCTCAACATGCCATTCAACCTGTCAATTAGATCTGATTGTTCCACCAGGTGTCGGTCGTGGTCGTAGAGCTTCGCTACACAGAAAGCTGCGGTCTTCCGGACGTATGGGTCAGAGTCCTTGAGGAGGTTCTTCAGGTGTGGTACGGTGGCTTCGACAAATTCCCGGACGTGAACGTAGGACATGGTCCGTAGGGCGAGGGCTCGAACTAAGGGGTTGTTGTCGTGCATGTCTTCCTGTATGATGGGGAGTGCTTTGAGCGCAATGTCAGGTTTTATCCTGGCATAGTTGACGAGATACAGGAAACACCTGCCCATGTCAGCGATGCGCGTGCTCGTATGGATGTCACTACGCACATCTTCTTGATCTCCAGGCTCGGAATGTGCATGCAGCCGACTATATCCATGAATAGCGCGACCATGTCGTTATTGCTCATGGTCATATTGGCGACGATCTTCTTGAGCGCCGTCTTCTTCGCGGAGAAGTTCTTGTCCTTCTTGTTGCCATTGTTCAATTCGATGCGTAGTTCGGCGACTTTGCCCTGTGGAGTGCGAAGGTTCTGTAAGCGCGTGTTGTCAAAGGTGTAGGGGAGAAACATCATCATGGCGCCAACTGCTCATAGCCGGGAGGCAGGCAGGCTGAATAGGAGACCATGTAGGCTGTCCAAGACGGAAGGTCTGGGTTGTGCGGATGACGGGGCCAACGTACCCTCGCAAAGAGCTTCGCATCTTGGCCGCCCTGGCTCATGTTGGGCTAATGATATCGCGTGTGCCAGCTGGGCTGTTCCCTCAATGCATGTGCCTGCCGTAGCACAATCAAGATAACCTCCCTCGCGACTTAGCGCCCCTCCCTTGCCGTCCAGAGGAAGCGTGCGGGGTTCGATGGCTGATTCGCTCGTCTATTGGCTTCGTATCGTGTCGCGCATGGCAGGGAAACGTGGAATTCGGCCGGAGAAACGTGGAGAGGAGAACGAATGGACAAGTTTGGGGACTACAACTTTTGGGAAGCCTGACGGCGGTCAACACGGAGGAGGGGACGTGCATCCGCCAAGCCCGCCATGTGTGGACCTCTCCAGACGCCTGCTCCGCACCACCACCAGCGAACCTCCAACATCGTGAGACCCTGAACCCTGGTCAAAGCAACAACATAGCACAGATTGGCATCCGGTACCACGCTTCCACCAAGTCAAATCATCATGTCCGCGACCCCTCCACCTCCCCCGCAGTGGGTGCTTGACCTCAATTCGACGCCCGCATCCAAGCCGAAGAACGCCTCGCTCGCGGACCCGCCAGGCTACACACCATCTCTGTCCAGGAAGGAGCGTTCCCAGGTATCAAAGACTCAGAGGCAACCCCCGACACCAGAAGAGATGGACACACTCAAGATGAAGAAGGCTTGGGAAGTTGCCATCGCGCCTGCGAAGCAACTGCCTATGAATGCTTTTGGTGCGTGCAAGCCACGCGAAATCACTTTGTCAATTGACTAACAACACCAGGAATGTACATGACTGGAAATACGCTGCAAATCTTCTCTGTCTTCATGGTCTTTACGCTGTTCAAAACCCCGGTGCTTGCTGTACTCGGTCTCCAACGCACCTTCGCCCCCTACGAAACTCCCGGCACCTCTGGACGACTCCTCGGTGTCAAGATGGCTTACATTGCTTGCAACATGTTGATGTTGGCATTGGGTATATGGAAGGTTAATGCTATGGGACTTTTACCAACGACAAAATCAGATTGGCTGGCTTGGGAGAGCGAGAGGATATGGTCAGAAAGAGCGGTGCCCAAGGAGTGGTTGTAAACGTTTCTATGGTTTGGAATACGTATTCTATGGTACTCTCTTGCTACCGTGATCAAGAGAGCTTCTGATGAAAGTCATTATCATGCCCTGCTCTTTTCCATATTCGTTCCTGATCACCTGCCCTTCGCTTCCAAACTCGTGTTGATCCCTCTAACTCATCTCTTCATCGCTATTATCAAGCAGCAAGATAGGTACCGTCACTCGTGGCTCCGCACTACTCATCTTGCCGTCTGCCATACTCGCATCCCTGTTGCCAAAGAACCTGGCTCCATCGTCTATCGACTCCTCTGCTACAGACTGTCCAATTGCATTCATGAACTCCATTTTCCTTCTAACAAACCGCAATACCATGATCCGCGGGGTCTTCATACCCGCATGACCCCTTCCAGCCATAGTTACAGGGATGTCTCCTAGGACCTTCGCCATCGCCTCTCTCCTGGCCGTTAATCTAAGCGCTAGCGGAGCTCGAACAGCACGGTCAAGCTCATCGGCTGTCACTAGGTCTGCGTGCAGCAACTTCATCAGGTTCCACGGCATGGTTTCTGGACCTTCATGTCGAATATCTACGGCTCGCGCTTGAAGTTCCGCAAGATTAGTATACCCATCGTAAACTCCTGAAAGCATTGTCCAGATAAGTGCTAATTGAGTGAGCAGAGGATCGTCACCTTCTCCACTCAGCCCAGTAAAGTTGTTAATGAACGGCATGAACGGTGCCACATCGCTCCACTCGGTAATTACATGTTCCATCAACTCGAGCACGGCGCGGTGGTCTCGTTCTTCGGCGCCCTCATCGCTTTGGCCGGCTAAAGAGAAGTCGATAAGCTGTACATCTGGATATCCCCGGTACCGATGGTGCATGTACGTAGAGTAGAGGTTGAACATTATGTTCGATGCTTCAATCTTGGCATGCACTATACCCTCATCATGTAGAAAGTCCACAGCATCTACCAAAGCAACGCAAATATGTCCCACAAACCAACCTGGCATACGGCCCTGGTCTTTGTTGCTGGCTTCACCAAACTGCGCTAAGGTGGGACCGAAAACAGGGCGGAGACAAACAAACGACGTTGCTGTCGAGGCAGTAAACTGAGCACGCAAAACATGCGAACCGACATGTAGGGTGGCACGTCCACCTTTCTTGTGCTGCGCCTCAATCTGCAAGACCTCCTTACGAAGAAGATCCGTGTCTCTGCTCATCTTGACCACCACCAGCTGTGGTAACATCTTCAAATGCTTGTCCTGGAGCAAAGACGTGCCGTTATGCTGCATGTTCTCGTAAAGGACATCGCTAGAGTTCTTGTACGAGAGAAGCGACAGTTGTTGACGAAGACGCGTATTTCCACGCACTGTCTGAAAGGCGTTGTGGACATCGGCCATCCGATCTTGAAGATCATAGTCGATTTCCTTCGACGGCTCGAATGGAGGGGGGAGCGCGCGGGGTAGACAGAGGTAAACTGCTGAAGAAGAAGCCGTTGTGGAGAGGGGTTTGACCACGCGGAATAGCTGGCCTGGGGGCTTAGGGGCGGATACGAGCAAAGAATCTGTAGGAGGCTTCTGACATGGCGTCCTGGAGCGAAATTTTATGTTTGTGATGCAGTAGTAAAGGATATGGTTGTAGAGTTGAGCGTGGAAAGGGTTTAAAGGCGAGACTGCTAAGGTTCGATATAATTGTAGAGTCCCGGTGACTATGCGGACGATGGTTCATGCGCGCAAATCACTACAGAGAAATCATCACGATCATACTGCACGTGAAGGGTCTTGCTGAACTACAATGTTTCATGTGTTCAGCTAGGAAGGCTGCCTACGTGGCTAGCACAGATGTCGATATGGGTTCTTAGTCCAGTGAAAACTCGGATTCTGCGTTTTACGAATAGATCGAAGGAACGATGAGCTTCTGAGTGGCATTCCACTTGCTGAGTCTTAGTCTAAGAGATTATAAACACATGTTAGACCTGGTATGTATCAAGTCTAGCCTAAACTACCTGTTCATCCTGAATCATCATCCTGATGAATATTCTCATACTCCTCTTTGCTCTTCCAATTTTTCGGATACCCTCTCGCCACCCGCCAGTCTTCCGCCTTACTTCTCAATCTTTCAAACAAACTCTCTCGCCACCCACCGTCACCATCTTCCTGGAAACTCATCGTCTTTCCGAAAGGCCATGACAGCATATTCTCAACTCTCGCTCCGTACTTGGAATCCAGCAGACCAACAGCCACATCGACTATCTTTGGCCGGTTACCTGATGCGTAGAACACGACAGCCGAACAAGTACCGCAGAAGTAACGACAGACGTCTGGTGAGGAGGTGTAGTATTCCATCGTACCGATAGCAGGATCTTTGGTGTCGATGAGATGTTTGAGATCGAAAATATCTTCCGGAAAGGCCTTGCTATCATCTTTTCCAGAAGACAGATATTTCGTCTCTGTAAAGGTCCAGTAAAAGATGTCGCTCCCGCTTTGTAACCGGCAGCTGTTGCAAGCACAGAAGCTGGCTTTGAGCTTCCTGCTGACAGGCTCAACGCAGGAGGGCAGATCTTCTTCGCTCGTATCTTTATACTCGCCCCGACGGAGGAGTAGATCTACACCGCCGCACTTACAGCGTATCGGCACACTGTTCTCCTCTTTCGCTTTGAGTTCTGGGAGAGTTGAACACCGAGGCCAGTCTGCAGGTAGCTCCTTTGCCTCTTGACCACGGCCTGGCGTCATCTCTTCGTAACTTTTCAAGTCCACGCCATCACCATTAAGAGCACAGATCCATGGACTTGCACCCCCATCCTGCGTATCGAGCACATAGCCCATCCCACTAAATTTGATCAGCTGGTGATCTCCAACATCCACATTGCCTAGCGTTCCAGTCACCACCCCCAAGTTCCTCTCTGGATCTCTGAAAGCACAGAACATTGGGCTTGAACAGGTAGGACAGAACAGCAGGTCGAAGCGCTCCCAGGCGCTGAATACCTTGAGGCCACTGATGTCGACATTGGCGCGAGGCTCGGGCCAAGTTATGAGAGAGGTGTGTAGTGAGCCACAGAGGTGTCGGCAGCTCGTACAGTGGCACGTATGCCCTGGTAGAGGAAGATCAGATGCGAGAAAGGTGGTGCTGTATTTATAGGTGCCACAGAGACATGATGCTGTTAGGGTTACCGTCTCAGACGAGGAAGACATGTTGTAAGTCAGAGCTGAAACTGAGCTTGATGTTGTGGCGGGGATTCTTGTGGTAATGTACTAGTACTTATGCGATAACAATGCATTGTTATTCGGAGGGGATGCCCTTCAGCTACCACGCCGCTAGTACCACGCCGCACGTACTTTGCCAAAAGATGTTACGCTGCAAGTACGCTGCAGGTGCTACTCCCTACGTAGCGCTTACGTATGTTGGTAGATGTTGTGTCACAGGGCGTGGAAAAAGATTGGTAAGCGTATGCGGGGCTCGCATTGTCATGTCGTACCTCGCATTCTACATCGCATTTGGTCATATGGACACAGAAATTCATAGCCAGCGGCTCAGTAGATTCGAATGTGGGCAACGTCCCTACGATCAGCCAATCTTCTATACTTTGACCACTCGCATCACATCAAACAAGCCTATCTTCTGCTTATCTGACATGCCATCTTTCAGAAGACCGGTTACATGCTCGCCCTGCCTGCCACGCTGGTTGCTTACGATGGTCGTGTCGCCTCGCTTGAACTCGCATGTTCGACCTGTCATACCGGTGATCCACATCTTGACGTTGCCAAAGTGGGGGCCGTCGAGCAGATTCGTTCCATATGCTGAAGCCCAAGGCGCGTCGACTTGCCAAGGATCCAGACTTTCACGTAGCTCCGGCGCGAACGCTGTGACGACAACGAGCTGTCGCTCATCTTTCGAATTACTAGAGGCTGCAGGTGCCAAAGCGCCGTTCAGTGATGCGTTGAGGTTCTTAACTTCATCGGTAAGCCACCTTAAGTCTCTTTTATGTTCCGAGTTGTGCTTTGCCACGTCCCAAAGCTGTATACCTTCCTTCTCGTCGAACTCGGGCATCTTTCTTAGCACAGCAGCTGTATCTGATTCTGAAATCCTACTCCATAGTGTGCACCCCAATAACGTGATGTTTGTGCCCGGAACATCGCTCCTCGTCTCATATAGTACCTCGAGCCTTCCTCTTGTTGTTGGCTCTTTCTCCAACTTATGCGCCAGCTGCAAGCCATCCATCCAGCTCAGGCCGTGGAACTCTAGGGGGCCCAAAACCAAGAAAACTTTCTCGTGGAGATTACACCGCCGAACCAAGAAGGATAGATATTGTTCGTAGTCTATGAGTTTGCCGATGTTTCCGGCGAGAACAAGGAAAGGTGCAGCGACGGGTATGTGAAACGTTAGGTATTGCGAGTCGTTATCTAGATGGAGATCTGAAAGGACCTGGAGGGAAGTTTTCGGGCCAGAGAAAAGGCCAGATAGACGTCGCATCTTGCTGGGCAGCATTTTTTGGGTGGCCGCTTGAGATTTCAGTGTATGTGACACCGGATTCGTAGACTAGGTATAGGAAAAAGGTGAGGTTGAAGGCTGGTCGCGTTCTACAGCAGAGGCGCTTCTAGAAAGACAAACCTGGGTATCTATACTGACGAAGGACTAGAAGAATCAGCAGTAAGACTGGGAAGACTTGAGAGACATATAAGCGCTGGTAACAAAGCGCGGCTTACGGCAGGATTCCAGCTGAGCTGCGCCCTGGATTTTAGGCATGGATCCTGTTCAGTAGCACAGCCTCATCTCTGTTACTGTTCCCGGCACCGTCGAAGACACAACCACGAGAAGTGTAGCTGCAGTCATCTTTCAGTTTCCTTACACCTCCGTTGTTGGATGTCCATGTGTCTTCGCGATGCATCGCGGTCTACGGGTGGTGGCTGTGAAGAGACACCTCAGAATCACTCAGCGCGGGACCAAATTAGATTTCGTCTAACCTGATTTCGGATGGCGCGTTCTCGGCCCCGCCCCGACCCAGTCCACCCTTCTTTACCCAGCCATCTACAGCTGCCACGATGACATCCACCACCAAACTTCCGATCAGCACCATTTTCTCTTCAATGCCGTCGCCGCCGGCTGTGGGCCAAACCCGCTGAATTGGGAGACAACTCTAAGCGGTGATTGCCTTCGCGCCGTGGCGCGCTACGTTCGAAAGCTCCGATGCCGTTAACATACAAGCACAATAATCCTGCAAGTAGTACTGTTAGTATAGCAGTAGGATAAGGAGACGTCCAAGTTCAGGGTATATAGTGTTGCCTTTGAACATCTTAATACTGAACACATGCGCCAAAACGCGCTGACCTTGCTCAGAAACGAGTTCGAAGATTCGTCGTTGTGGTATGCTGTTCCGTTAACAAACCCCTCCCACCGGTACCGACCTGTTGCCTTATAAACACGCGGCTGAATCTATGCATCTGGAGCGGCATCGGGGTGGATCAAGGTTCGTTGCTCTGTGTCCCGTCCCGAGACCGATCAAACTCGACATCACACAATAGGAGATGAGCTACAACATCCACCACACCATTCGATGTGTAAATCAACAAACGATTAGAAAAGTGGCCTCCCACGTTTACCCTAAAGGACCGTTCGGTACAAAGAAAGAGTCCTTGGGTGCTGTATGTTATCCGGCTAAATGTTACTCGCCTGGCGGCGAAGCCCTGTCCTGCAGCTTACCGGTTGACCGCAATGGTCCCGAACGTGCATAGCTGCCTCGTTGTTGTGGAAGGCGTTTTCACTCAACAATTTTCGCATGGAACACTCTGGAGGGATGGCTGCAATGGGCTGGATACGACAAACCGAGATTTCCAGGGGGCGCGGTAGATCTACTTTGATTGTGAGGCTGAAGTACCAATGCGCGATAGTTACACCATCGACGGCTTGATATTGCGATTGCACGATCTACAACCTGGAGCCTGGGACCGAGCAACTAGCAAACTCTAAGAATAGTCGTGTAACATACGAAGCCATCGAACGTCCCCTATACGAGCGCGGTATATTACCTGCGTCTGAAATTGTCGATCCTTTTGACTGCCTCTTGGAATCCGGCATATTTGATGCAGCTGACAACTGGATGGAAAACATCTCAAGAGATCGGACTTTCGGAATTCTCTCAAATATGCTGGTATGCTCTTGCCGACATGACAATGCTTCCACTAATAGCGACGCAGTAAGAGAGAGAAGCCTCAGATTCGAGCAACTGTCGAATCCTCACGTCGTTTCGTTACATGAGGTTACTGTTCGTATCAGAGGCCCAGATGCATGTGCAATATACTTCATGTAATACGACAGTTTTGCAAGTGAAGTCTCGCCTCCCGTGTTCGCTTATCCGGTAGCCAGGCTCACCTTGCTCATCACTTCACTTGGTTTCGACCAATTGGAGAGCCACCAATCTTACACTTGGTCGTCAGCTTTTCTCAATTCGGGAAGTCCGGCCTTCCAGATTTCCGTCGACTTTACTTTCTGGTATCATACGATCTGACTACAGCCAGATACTATGAATCAGCAAAGTCAATGTTATGGTATGTCGGACCATATGCAGGGTACACAGTGCTCGTATTCGTTTGCCTCATGATAACACCGTTCAAGGTGACTGGGTATACTTACCACTCAATCTAATGCACTTCTGAAGCGAGGTCTGGTCTCCAGAATCACAGAAAGCCATTTCTATAAGAGTTGAACATGTCGTATGGCCATCCTGCCCAAAAGCAACTCTCCACTCTTTGTTCCTATCGATATCTACTTCCTCTTCGCTGGTCAATATGAAGGCTTTCTCCTACTTCAGCTATGCCCTGCTAGCATTTGTTCCACTCACTGATGCTCACCCGGGGATGGGTGACACGATGAACGAAATGCGCTACCTTGCTGCCCGTGAGAAGCGTGCAGCTTCGAAAGAGCTTATTGGCGACCTCAAGACACTGGCAGACTCCAAACTCACTGCTATTGGCAAGGACATCAAAGCCATCATACTTGACCAAACGTCTGCTGAGTCGGCTACCATAGATGGCTCCATTCCGGCTGGCAACATCGGAAGCGCTGCCTGCAAAGCTGATCTGTGCTGCCATTGGAAATGGTTGGCGTACGAAATGACCGCCAAATTCAACGGTACATCCGGTCGTTGCAGCAAGTTTGCTCGCCAAGCCGTCCGCCTGGGCTTCCATGATGCAGCCGTCTGGTCTAAGAGCAGCAGTTATGGTGGTGCAGACGGCAGTATCCTCCTCAGCGACGAGATGTCGCGTGCGGACAACAACGGTCTTTCGGCAATTGCTGATCAAACAAAGAAGTGGTACACCAAATACAATCAATACGGCATGAGTATGGCAGATATCATCCAATTCGGTGCCAATGTCGCGACCGTAGTTTGCCCGCTTGGACCACGACTTCGAACCTTCGTTGGGCGCAAAGATAATAGCAAGGCCGGCCCTACCGGCCTTCTTCCTGGAGAAAAGGACTCTGCAGACAAGCTCATCAAACTTTTCCAAGACAAAACCATCGATGCTCATGATCTTGTTGCTCTTGTCGGGGCGCACACTACTTCGCAACAACACTTCGTCGATACCACTCGCGACGGTGACCCACAAGACTCAACTCCTGGTATCTGGGATATGGCTTTCTACCCGCAGACTACGAATAATGCGCCTGTCCGTGTCATCAAATTCCAAAGCGACATCAACTTGAGTAAGGACTCTAGAACTAGTCCTTCGTGGCAGCAGTTCAGCGATCGGGCTACTGCTCAGGGTCGATGGAACGCGGTATGACTGCACATATTTCCAAACAAATATCTCATCTGACGAAATGATATAGGACTATGCTAAAGCTTACACGCGCTTGTCGCTTCTCGGCGTGAACAACATCAACGACCTCAAAGAATGCACCAAGGTCTTGCCCGCAGAACGGCCTACATTTGTTAGCGAGGATCAGGTCTTGCTCGACAGGTGGCTCAACGGCGAGTTCGATCAACTTAATAACTTGGTGGATGATGCTATTCAGCTTACAGGTGTGATATCCTCCAGAGAAGAGAAGCCTTGAGTGCAATGGTGGCTTCATTCCCTCCATCCGTAGCTTCAGCTGCAGCGCTAGCATGAGAACTTCAGGGTTTCACTTATACTATAACATAAATCTATCCTAAAGTCACTAATGGTTCTTCTTGACTCACCTCTTCCTCATTCAC